TAACAATCCACACAAGAATAACGCATTACTATGAATTATACGTTGTTACTCAGCTGATATGTAAATGTGGTCGTGTTAGAGACGGGCGGATTTATATACTATCACTATAAATGTGTTTTTTACATGAGGTCATGATAGGTTAGTTGCTGATCGATATGTGCACCTACGCATGACATGCCGTTTTTAACGTCCTGGCGGGATTTGCATTGAGGTGGATGCATAGATCAATAGTCATAGTCAATAGTCATCAGTCATAGACAATCATAATTGGCTTGATACGTATCTCGTAAGAGGTTCGATCAGTTGCCGGCTATAGGCAGAGAGATAGCGGCGCGCGTTCCTGAACATGTACGACGTCTGTGATCGCCGTATGACCAAACCTCACCTCCTCCCAGTAAATTGAAACAACCGTTCTTCAGATCCACCTCTACTGTAGCCTACTGTGCCACACCGTCGGTGGATTTCCGCCACATCTGTATATAGGTGGTGTACAGCAGTAGAAGGCGTTTATAGGCAGCAGACCTGAATCGGACAGAAATTAATTAAAAATACTCACAGTGTTTCGATCGTCACATTACTTAACATACACTTCAGGCTATTATCTGTTAAATAACTACAGATTCGTGCTCTATACTCTGCTCGAAACATTGTCAGCATTATGACGCGAATTTCCACAAAGTTGTTGGATCCAATTTCAAACACGAAAATGGCCAACCGGTCATCATGGCTACGCACTAGCTTGACGGAATGTCACAACTACACGACAAATCCAATTTTACTTCTGATGCTTTCTAGACGTCAACTCGGATCTAACTTGCGCGCATAGTGCAGATTATTACGAACCGTCGGTGACGGGATGATGCATTCAATGCTAGCGCAGCATTTAATGCGAGAAATACTAAATAATTGCGCGTGTACTTCAAACGTGCTTGCGCAGGGTGACAGGGAAAAGTGACAGGGAGAGGGTGATAGTAAGCGGTGACAGTTTACGGGAGCGATTAAAAACGCTGCTAATTGTAGGACAGCCATGTAGTGAAGAGCTAGCAGAGGATCCATGAGTCGTTGGAAACCCTCGTGTTTCGCATGAGAAGGTGTGACTCGGATGGAGACGAGGTGACTATGCGACTTTCATTGTTGAAATGACCTGAAAATATCTTCAAAGTTTATTGTAAAACAGTTTCAGAGAACTGAAAAAATTATAAAGATGGAAAATCGTGTTCACTTTTCCAAAAATCTAATCAGCAGTTCCCTTTCCCTGAAAATAATTCGACAATATCCTCTGTTTCCTGATAGTTAATGCCCTCGTTTCCGTTGTTTTTTCAAACCCCTGGGAGTTACAAGTTATACGTGTATCATCCCTGATACACACGAGCATTGACACATATGTTTAGCCTGAAGTAAGATGAAATTGATTCTCTTTCTAGGTCTCATTCAGAGCTTATCTCATTGATGAGATAACCCATCACAAATGAACAGAAGAGGCCACATAACCTCTTGCATAAATGTGTGTGACTTGCAACAAGATGTTCAGTGGGCATGCCATTTCTGAACACATCGTTAAAAATTGATTTTTTAACTAATTTGTCGTTCTCATAAGCCAGCTCGAACCGTTCTTTTAAATCATACTTACCACAGGCCAGACACGTGGAGTTATCTGGTTTAGACCTGAATTCAGATTCAGTGTTCTTACCATGATGTCAGTTTTCTTGCAGGGTAGCTGCATTTTGACTCTATGCCTCAATTTGCTCTATTCTTTTTTTTCATCTGCGTTGTCCTCATGCCATGCATACGTTTTGAATACTAGATAATGTGAAAATAGTGTTAATGTGTGTGTGTGTGTGTGTGTGTGTGTGTGTGTGTGTGTTGTGTGTGTGTGTGTGTGTGTGTGTGTGTGTGTGTGTGTGTGTGTGTGTGTGCTGTGTTCCACGGGACAAACAAGACTGACTGACCATACAAAACAAACATTCAAGACTTCACAATCACCACTTTTGCTTGTTACTTACAATTTTTAGGTTTTTTTACGAATAACATAATGTTAAGTAGGTATAAATCACCATAGTTTTAATTCTGACATACATGTGACTTGCATATAACTAGTTTATATTAAACTAATAACATTTGAAGGGCTTGCACAACAATTTTATATATATCTATCAAGAATGGCATTCTTCAGTAATATTTCGTGATTCCGTAACCATTTTTTACTGCGCTTTTTTGTAAAGTATGAAGTAACCGCAACAATATGAACCCAAACATGGTTACCAGAGCATAATTGAGACCATGCGGTAGGAAATATCTTGATCAAACTTTGCGAAGTTTATAGCGAAAATTTCTCTGAAGTTAATTAGTTGCCGCACTGTGAATCGCCCTCTTTTACAACATGCAGGAAACGGACCGCGCAAATGTATTTTACAGAGTAATTGTATGGTTTTAACACCGCACATCGGCATGTTAGAAACGAGATAGAATCACTCGATTGTGTTGCTCTGTTTGAACTGCTCCGTAAAAATTAATTTACGGGTTTTGACTTCCGTATACAGCAGCCTTTGTGTTGTAATTGCCACGTCGTGCGACACACATCTGACTAACTCAGCGGTAGGTCTACATTGACCTGAATCGTTATTGCAAAAGCCCCAGATAATATAAAGGGAAGATGAGAGAGAGAGAGAGGTGTGAAAGAAAAGCAGGTGGGCCAAGAAGAAATTACAATAAATGTGGGAAAATAAAGCAGTAGTTCTGAAAATGGATGCAGATGGTGGAACATACATACACACACGCACGCACGCACCCACGTACGGTCGTACGTACGAACGCACGCACGCAAGCACGGCGCGCGCACACACACGATTATACTATAATATATATATATCTAAAAACAAAATACATAATAGCTTAAGGGTATTTAAGTTCTAATACGCGAGCTTTCAACGCGGCAATTCAGCAACATTGAAGCTCGCGTATTAAAACTTAAACACGACTACCTATTATTTGAAATTGTTTTGATCTGACATGGGTATTCGTGTGTGATTTTACTTTTACATTTATATATATATATATATATTATATATATATTATATATATATATATATAGAGAGAGAGAGAGAGAGAGAAGAGAGAGAGAGGGAGATGGAGAGAGAAGAGAGAGAGACGAGCGAGAGAGAGATCAGAAGTAGATATAGGGAATCCTATTATCTACTTCTGATATATATACATCGACGGAAATAAGATAAATGTCTCTGGTGATTTTATCATGGCTACTAGTATCTTCAATTTAAGTAGATTAAGCCACAGCTTGGCTGAACATCTTCTGGATACCAACATTACGATTAAATTATAAACAATGACATTCGCTACAGATGTGAAGGAGAACCTGGCTTTTTCGGAGTTTAACTCAGCATGACCGTAGATGCTGCATGTCTACTTGTGGTAGCAGGAACTAAATAGGACTTCCTTCTGTTTCTCCTAGATGGCAGACCATCGACAACGTGGGCTGTCTGACGTCACACAGCCACACGAGACGTCATCGGAGAGAATCGGAGCGAATGGTCGCCCTGAAACGCCTCGTATTGGCAGACGCTTGCGGAGAGGAACGACCAACCTTCCGCGCTTCGAGGACGTTCCAACACATAGAAATAGCCCGCCACCACGCGCCGCCGATAAAGCAACCGCGCCAACACACACACAACGCAGAAAGCTCACCTGCGCTGCGGTTGGTTTTGGATGGCATCCCATCAGGAGTGCAGCTGTAACCGGCCCGGCTGTTACTGTTCTTCATGGGCCTATTGCGTGATCGGCCCAGAGGGGCGCTGCTGAACGGCTTCATCCCGTCATCGGTGCCAGACATCGAGAAGCGCTATGAGCTAAGCAGTAGCAAGACAGGCATCATCGCTGCGCTGTATGACGCAGGTAGGTGCCACAATAACGCTATAACTCAAGCATCCTATAGCGCGCGCTGTCGGCCCACAGTGAGAGAGCTGATGTCGTTACGCGACTGCGTGGCCCTCGTTACGAGGAGGCAAGCAATCAAGGTCTTTTCTCTCCTGTAGCCTAGATCTGGCTACTGTACTGTACTCGCTAGATCTAGCGCGAGAAATGACTCGGGCTGCTGTGGTTACGTTGGCGGTGTTTTATAGAAACGGTTGGCAGATCATATTCCGCTTGATGGGCAATTAGCTATATCGACTTAATATACTCTCTCTCTTCTCTCTCTCTCTCTCTCGCTCTCTCTCTCTCTCTCTCTTCTCTCTCGCTCTCTCCCTCTCTCTCTCTCTCTCTCTCTCTCTACTCTCTCCTCTCTCTCTCTCTCTCTCTCTCTGTCTGTTCTCTCTCGCCTCTCTCTCTCTCTCTCTCTCTCTCTCTCTCTCTCTCTCTCTCTCGCTCTCTCTCTCTCTCTCTCTCCTCTCTCTCTCTCTCTCTCTGTCTGTCTCTCTCGCCGCCTCTCTCGCTCTCTCTCTCTCTCACTCTCTCTACCGCACAGCTTGTCTCATCGTCGCGTTCAATCAGGTTTGTAAAGCGCCAGCTGTTCAACCGCGATTTCAATGAGGCTCCACTATACTGTGCGCGAATATCATCTATATTTCAGCTGGCCCCACCGTCATCATTACTCCTAATATAGCTACCGAATCTTTAAACAAATATCCGGCGTTAGTACAGGCCACCAGCGGCGCTGCCTTAATTGTCACGGCCTAAAAATCTTCGATTGAGGAACTATAGTAATATGCATGTGAAAGTTTCTATTCTGTCTAAAAGTGCACAATATGGCCATTTTATTTCCTCCTTAACCAGAAAGAGCCAAAGATCGTGCTTTAACGGCGCTAGGAGACATTATATAAAGCCTTGATGTTTACATATTGAATTTCCCCTTCAGCGTCACCCTGAATGAATCAGTACATGAAATTCCTTTTTTGCGTAATCTTTCTTTAGCTGTTTTCGGAATGCACGTGCGTATGCTTGCGTTGGCCAATTTTGCTGCAGTGTGTTTATGTTTTTGGAGATGCCGCAGCGTTATTATATATTTGATTTATTATCGCAATTAATCTCCTACAGTAATATAGTATTATTAGTAGTAGTAAGTAGTAGTAGTAGTATATAGTAGCTATTGTAACTTATTTATTTGTTTTAGCTGTATAGCAGTATGGCTTTTGAGCCTACCCTGCTTCAGCTGTTTTTGTTAGCTATTAATTTTGTCTAAAGTATTTGTTCATTGTATCTGTTTTTGGCGTGTTGCAGTAGTGCGCTGTGTGTTATTTGTTTTGGGATCATCGTAGTATGGCTTCTGTCTTTTTTTAGCTGCTGGCAGTGAGTTCTGATTCGTTGTCGTTATACGCGTGAGCAGGGACATAAGGGCGCTGCGTCAGCGGCTACGGGGTTAGGTGATAGGGGAAATAGGCGGTTTCATATATTCTCTACCGCCAATTCACGTCTGGTGTCTATCACAGGTTGGAAGCAAACCGTCAGCGAAGTTATGCGAACGGTAGGATCTTGTCAAGATATCTACGCTTTAGAGAAATCACTCAAATCATTCCTAATACGTCAGTTTTTATCATAATATGATATAATATATCTATATATTATGTAAAAGTCTTCTAATGTGCGTCTGTTAGAACATTTTATCCTGTACTACTAGTTATATAGCGTTATCGTGTGTGGCGCCGCGTGTTGGCGTGCGGTACACTATGAATGTGCGTGGGTGCATGCGCGCGTGTGTGGGTGCGGTACACATGTGTGCGCTGTGCCACTGCGCGCTGTGGGTACCATGGCACGTGTGGTGGTGCACGCCGCGTGTGTGGTGTGCGCGTGCGCTTGTATGGGTATGTGTGCGCACGTGTAAGCGTGTGTCTATCGTGTATCGTGTGCACGCGCGTGTGTGTATCGTGTATGTGGTGTAGTGGTGTGTGCGTGCGTGTGTGGACGGACACAAACGTACAGTGAATGTTTGTATGTGTTGCTTGTGCTCGCGCGGTGTTCGTGAGTGGAGCCGTAGCGTTTTCGTAGCGCCACTAAATTTCCTCCTCTATCTTCTTCACGAAGCAACAAATGCATCCGCGAGGACATAGCGAGATTGGTAGTTTATCCAACTCACATCTACGTCTTCTACCTAGCACTATTTTATTGTGTCGGCTGCGATCGCATTATACACACTAGGAATTACCTTACCTAGGACGAAACGTCAAGCCAGGAGAACCAGTCCTCTGTTACTTAGGTATTGTGCTATTACCGTTAACACACGCGACGTTTGTTTGGCTATGATGTAGATTACGTAGAAGTAACAATAGGTAGCTTATTCCACATTACAATTAATTCACATAATCTACAATGTAAATACACATATACATGTAATTCCATAAATACAATGATAATTCCACATATACATGTAATTACACATATTACAATGTAAGTCAATACAATTAATTACACATATTACATGGAATTACACATATACATGTAATTCAAAATATACAATGTAATTACACATATACAATGGTGTTTGGCTAACCGGTGATGTAACTTGCGAGGTCTTAGTCGACGTAACGAAGGCATGTACTTACTTACGTAAACAGCCATGTAGGTATAGAGCAGTGTGTAGGTCTAGCTATGTGTACTGTTAGCACACGAATCACACACATAGTCATTCGGGTTTTCCTATGCGCTGTATGATGGACAATCTTGCATTCTATGCAAGTGCATACAATATTACCGTAGGGACATCTTTAAATATGCAGTTACGATATGCCTTTTAAACCTAGGGTTTTACTAACTTTTGGTTTAAGCGCAATTATATCAATTGAACATGCAACAATTATTATATCCGTAGCGAATACTAGTGCACGCGCGCATCGATGGCTGCTACAAATTGACTTTTTTTTTTTTTTTTTTTTTTTTTTTTTTTTTTTTTTTTTTTTTTTTTTATTTTTTTTTTTTTTTTTTTGTTTTTTTTTTTTTTTTTTTTTTTTTTTTTTATTTTTTTTACGTCTATATGCTTAACTGCGTGTCATCTCTACCTTACCTACATGATCGCCGTTATCTCTTTGGAAGTTTCGTGGCGTATAGGAACCTACCTGCTCTGGAGCGGTCGGTCCTGCGACGTCGAGCTACTTTAGGAGAGTTTCGTCAGCACTCTATGGCATCATGTTACGGCTTAACGGTAGAGATACACCCAGTTAGCATATAGCGTTTAAAGTCATTTGCCTACACCACTCGATGCCGCGGCGTGCAGCGGTAGTATTCGCTACGATATAATAATTGTTGATCCGCACTTCCAACTGTAGGCCTGTCAATTGATATAATTTGCGCTTAAACAAAAAGTTAGTAAAACGCCCTAGGTTTAAAAGATTATTCGTAACTTGATATTTAAAATTCCCTAACGCGGTAAATATTGTATGACCACCTTGCAGCTAGAATGCAAGTTTGTCCATCATTCAGCCGCATAGGAAAAACCGAATGACTATGCTGTGTGATTTGTGTGTAACGATACATCATAGCCTAGCTAACACCACTGAATCTATACCTACATGCATGCTTCTACGTAATAAAGTACATGCCTCGCGTTACTGCTGATATAGACCTCCAAGTACATCACGGTTAAGCAAACCACCATTGTATATGCTGTATTAATTGTATTATGCTGGAATTACATTGTTATATGTGTATATTACATTGTATATGTGTAAATTACATTGTATATGATGTAATTACATTGTATATGTGTAATTACATTTGTATATGTGGCAATACCTGTATATGTGGAATTCCATTGTATATGTGTTACTCTACATGGCTATATGATGAATTACATTGCTATACTGTGGAATTACAGCTACCATTTTTACATCTACGTATCTACATTCATAAGCCAACAAACCGTCGCGTGTGTTAACGTATAGCACAATACTAAGTACAAGGACTGTGTTTCCCCTGGCTGACGATTGTCGTCTAGTAGGTAATTCCTAGTGTGTATAATGGCGACGCAACCGACGCAATAAGAATAGTGGCCCTAAGTAGAAGACGTAGATGTAGTTTGGATAAACTCCACTCTCGCATGTCTCCGGAGTGCACTTTGTTGCTTCTGTGAGAAATAGAGGAGGAAATTTAGGGCGCCTACGAAAACGACAAGGCCTACCACTCACCGAACCACGCGCGAGCACAAGCAAACACATCAACACATTCATGTACGTGATGTCGTCCACACACGCACGCACACACCCACACACACGATCACACATACACACAGCGCGTGCCACACCGATCACAATACACACCGCTTACACGTGCGCCACACATAACCATACAAGCGCAACAGCGCACACCACACACGCCAGCGGCCGTGGCACACCCACACGTGCACATGTAACCACACGCGCGCATGCACACGCACACAGGTGTACGCGCACCCACACACGCGGCATGGCACACGCACAATGTGTACGCGCACCCACACGCGCGCGCACAACATGATAAGACCTAATATAACTAGTCAGCTACAGATAAATGCTTACTAAAGTACGCCATATAGACGTTTACATAATATATAATTATTATTCAATTATGATAAACAACTAACGATTAGGTGAAGATTGAGTGATTTCTCTAAAAGTAATAACCTATGACAAGAAACCTACGTCGCATTAAATCTGACTGAGTTGCCTCCAACACTGTTTGATAGACACCACGGTGAATTAGCACGTAGAGAAATATGAAACGCCTTTCATACGCATAACCGGTAGCCGCTACAGCCGGCCCCTTATGTCCTCTTCCACCGTGTAACACACGGGAATCAGAACTACTGCCCAGCTAAAAAAAGACAGAAGCCATACTACGATATCCAAAACAAATACACCACACACTACGCCAACACCCAAAACAGATACAATGAAACAAAACTTTAACAAATTAATACTAAACAAAACAGCTGAAGCAAGGTAGGCCCTCAAGCCATACTGCTATACAGCTAAAACAAATAACTAAGTAACTACTAATACTACTATATACTACTACTACTACTACTAATACTAATCAATACGTATATTACTGTTTTTCTAGGAGATTTAATTGGCGATAATACAATCAAATAATTATAATAACCTTGCCGGCACATCTTCAAAAACATACACAACTCAAGCAAAATTGGCCAAAACGCAAGCATTACGCACGCATCTCCAAAAAACAGCTAAAAGAGAGGTTACGCAACAAAGAATTTCAATGTAGTGATCTTGCAGGGCTGACGCTTGAAGGGGAATTTCAATATGATAACACATCAAGCTTTACTATAAATGTCTCCTAGCGCCGTTTAAGCCCGATCTTTTGCTCTTTCGGTTAGGAGCAAATAAAAATAGCCTATTGTGCACTTTTAGACAGAATAGAAACTTTTCAAATGTATTTCATAGTTCCTCAATCGAGATTTCTAGGCGTGACAATTTTGAAGCAGCGCCGCTGGCTTGGCCTTACTACGCGGATTTTGTTTAAAGCTTCGGATGAGCTATTTAGAAGGAGTAAATGCCGATGACGGTGGCGCTGAAACTATAATGATATTCGCGCACAGTTATAGTGAGCCTCATTGAAGCGCGCTTGAAACACTGGCGCCCTTTACAAACCTGATGAACGCACGATGCAAAGACAAGGCTGCTGCGGTAAGAGCTGAGAGAGAGAGAGAGAGGATGAGGCGAGAGAGACAGACAAGCACAGAGAGAGAGAGAGAGAGATGAGAAGAGAGAGGAGCTGAAGAGCGAGAGCAGAGAGCAGACGGGGATGAATGAGAGAGGAGAGAGAGAGAGAGGCGGCCGAGAGAGACAGACAGAGAGTAGAGAGAGGAAGAGAGAGAGAGAGAGAGAGCGAGAGAGAGAGAGAGAGAGAAGAGGAGGAGAGCCGAGAGAGAGAAGAGGCAGACGAGAAGAGAGAGAGAGAGAGAGAGAGAGAGAGAGTATAATTAAGTCGATATAGCTAATTGCCCATCAAGCGGAATATAATTGTCACCGTTTCCTATAAACACCGCCAACGTAACCACAGCAGCACCGAGTCATTTCCTCGCGCTATATCTAGGCAGTACAGTACAGTAGGCAGATCTAGGCTACAGGAGAGAAAAGACCCTTGATTGCTTGCCTCCTCGTAACGAGGGCCACGCGTCGCGTAACGACATCAGCTCTCTCACTGTGCGACACGCGGCGCTATAGATGCCTGAGTTATAGGCGTTATTGTGGCACCTACCTGCGTCATACAGCGCAGCGATGATGCCCGTCTGTCTACTGCTCAGCTCATAGCGCTTCTCGATCGTCTGCACCGATGACGGGATGAAGCCGTTCAGCAGCGCCCCCTGGCCGATCACGCAGAGGCCCATGAAGAACAGTAGACAGCCGGGCCGGTTGAACAGCTGCACCCCTGATGGATGCCATCCAAACCAACCGCAGCGCAGGTGAGTTTCTGCGTTTGTGGCCTCGTGTTTGGCTGCGGTTGCTTTATCGGCCGCGTTGGTGACGAGGCTATTTTTCTTATTGTGTGCAACGTCCTCAAGCCGCGGAAGGTGGTCGTTCCTCTCCGCAAGCGTCTGCCCAATACGAGGCGTTTCAGGGCGACCATTCGGCTCCGAGTTCTCTCCGATGACGTCTCGTGTGGGCTGTGTGACGTCAGACACGCCCACGTTGTCGATGGGTCTGCCATCTAGGAGAAACAGAAGGAAGTCCTATTTAGTTCCTGCTACCACAAGTAGACATGCAGCATCTACATGCTGAGTTTAACTCCCCAAAAATGCAGGTTCTCCTTCACATCTGTAGAGAATGTCATTGTTTATAATTTAATCGTAATGTTGGTATCCAGAAGATGTTTCAGCCAGCTGTGGCTTAATTTACTTAAATTGAAGATACTAGTACCAGATGAAAATCACCAGACACATTTATCTTCTTTCCGTCCGATGTATATATATCAGAAGTAGATAATAGGGAATTTCCCTGTTATCTACTTCTGATATCTCTCTCTCTCTCTTTCTCTCTCTCTCTCTCTCTCTCTTTCTCTCTCTCTCTCTCTCGCTCTCTCTCTCTCTCTCTTTCTCTCTCTCTCTCTCTCTCCATATATATATATATATAAATGTAGAAGTAAAATCACACACGAACACCCATGTAGATAAAAACGAATTCAAATAATAGGTTAAGGTGTTTAAGTTTTAATACGCGAGCTTCATTGTCTGCTGAATTGCCTGAAGAAAAGATGTACATCTCGAAAGCTCGCGTATTAAAACTTAAACACCTATTTGAAATTGTTTTTAGATATATATATATATATATGTGTGTGTGCGCGCGCGCGCGCGTGCGTGCGTTCATACGTACGTACGTATACGTACGTGGGTGCGTGCGTGCGTGTGTGTATGTATGTTCCACCTCTGATCATTTTCAGAACTACTGCCTTTATTTTCCCACATTTATTGTAATTTCTCTTTGCCCACCTGCTTTTTCCTTTTACACCTCTCTCTCTCTCTCTCTCTTTTATTATCTGGGGCTTTTGCAATAAAGATTACAGGTCAATGTAGACCTACCGCTGAGTTAGTCAGATGTGTGTCGCGCGACGTGGCCATTTACAACACAAAGCGCTGTATACAGAAGGTCGAAACCCGTAAATTCATTTTTACGGAGCAGTTCCAACAGAGCAACACAATCGAGTGATTCTATCTCGTTTCTAACATGCCGATGTGCGGTGTTAAAACCATACAATTACTCTGTAAAAATACATTTACGCGGTCCGTTTCTGCATGTTGTAAAAGAGCGATTCCACAGTGGCGCAACTAATTCAACTTCAGAGAAATTTTCGCTATAACTTCGCAAAAGTTTGATCAAGATATTTCCTACCCATGGTCTCAATTATGCTCTGGTAAGCATGTTTGGGTTCATATTGTTGCGGTTACTTCATACTTTACCAAAACAAGCAGCAGTAAAAAAATGGTTACGGAATCACGAAATATTACCTGAAGAATGCCAATTCTTGATAAGATAATATAAAATTGTTGTGCAAGCCCTTCAAATGTTATTAGTTTTAATATAAACTAGTTAATGCAAGTCACCTGTATGTCAGAATTAAAACTATGGTGATTTATACCTACTTAACATTATGTATTCGTAAAAAACCTAAAAATTGTAAGTAATCAAAGCAAAAGTGGGTGATTGTGAAAGTTTGAATGTTTGTTTGTATGGTCAGTCAGTCTTGTTTGTCCACGTGGAACACACACACACACACACACACACACACACACACACACACACACACACACACACACACACACACACACACACACACACACACACACACACACACATTAACACTATTTTCACATTATCTAGTATATCAAAACCTATGCAGGCATGAGGACAAACGCACATGAAAAAAAAAGAATAGAGCAAATTGAGCAATAGAGTCAAAATGCAGCTACCCTGCAAGAAAACTGACATTCATGGTAAAGAACACCTGAATTCTGAATTCAGGTCTAAACCAGATAACTCACATGGCTGCCTGTGGTAAGTATGATTTGAAAGAACGGGTTAACGCTGGCTTATGAGAACGACAAATTAGTTAAAAAATCAATTTTTAACGATGTGTTCAGAATGGCATGCCACTGAACATCTTGTTGCAAGTCACACACATTTATGCAAAGGTTATGGTGCCTCTTCTGTTCATTTGTGATGGGTTATCTCATCAATGAGATAAGCTCTGAAATGAGACCTAGAAAGAGAATCAATTTCATCTACTTCAGGCTAAACATATTTGTCAAATGCAGTGTGTATCAGGGATGATACACGTATAACTTGTAACCTCCCAGGGGTTTTAAAAAACAAGGGAACAGGAGCATTAACTATCAGGAAACAGAGGATATTGTCGAATTATTTTCAGGGAACAAGGGAACTGCTGATTAGATTTTTGGGAACAAGTGAACACTGATTTTCCATCTTTATAATTTTTTCAGTTTTCTGAAACTGTTTACAATAAACTTTGAAGTATTTCAGGGTCATTTCAACAATGAAAGTCGCATAGTCACTCGTCTCCATCCGAGTCACACCTTTCTCATGCGAACCACGAGGGTTTCCAACGACTCATGGATCCCTCTGCTAGTCATTCCTACATGCTGTCCTACAATTAGCACGTTTTTAATCGCTCCCCGTAACTGTCACCGCTTACTGTCACCTCTCCCTGTTACTTTTCCCTGTCACCCTGCGCAAGCACGTTTGAAGTACACGCGCCAATTATTTAAGTATTTCTCGCATTAAATGCTGCCGCTAGCATTGACATGATCCCCGTCACCGACGGTTCGTAATAATCTGCACTATGCGCGCAAGTTAGATGCCGAGTGGACGTCTAGAAAGCATCAGAAGTAAAATTGGATTTGTCGTGTAGTTGTGACATTCCGTCAAGCTAGTGGCGTAGCCATAATGACCGGTTGGCCATTTTCGTGTTTGAAATTGGATCCAACAACTTTGTGGAAATTCGCGTCATAATGCTGACAAATGTTTCGAGCAGAGTATAGAGCACGAATCTGTAGTTATTTAACATGAATAGCCTGAAGTGTATGTTAAGTATGTGACGATCGAAACACTGAGTATTTTTAATTAATTTCTGTCCGATTCAGGTCTGCTGCCTATAAACGCCTTCTACTGCTGTACACCACCTACATACAGATGTGGCGGAAATCCACCGACGGTGTGCACAGTAGGCTACAGTAGAGGTGAATCTGAAGAACGGTTGTTTCAATGTACTGGGAGGAGGTGGAGGTTTGGTCATACGGCGATCACAGACGTCGGTACATGTTCAGGAACCGCGCCGCTATCTCTCTGCCTATAAGCCGGGAACTGATCGAACCTCTTACGAGATACGTATCAAGCCATTATAATTGTCTATGACGATGACTATTGGCTATGACTATTGACTATGCATCCACCTCAATGCAAATCCCGCCCAGGAAACGTTAAAAAGCGCATGTCATGCGTAGGTGCACATATCGATCCCAACATAACCTACATGACCTCATGTAAAAAACACATTTATAGTGATAGTATATAAATCCGCCCGTCTCTAACACGACCACATTTACATATCACAGAGTAACAACGTATAATTCATAGTAATGCGTTATTCTTGTGTGGAGTTGTTTAGTAAAGTATAATTTGTAGTATCTGAGAAACTAACAAGCTTGCTTGCTCTACAATGTGGCGATTCAACAAGAGCGCATGGAACCGCGAAAATCCGTTTGAACGCGAACGTGCTCATATCGATAACAACATAACCAATATGGCGCCACGTTAAGCATAAAAAGAAAATCTGCCCGACTCTACCTCGTATGCATAGCCCGACGGCAGCGACACAGCGCAATATTCGCATTACGCTATATTCCTGCATGGAATGGTTTAGCAACGTGCAAGTCGAATATCTGTTAGTAGTTGCGTTTGTCTTTCGAATGCGTGGTATTCGGTATATTTGCATGTCACGTGTCGTGGAACATCGACAATTAAGATTATGCCGCATCCGCACGCATTAGCTCTGACATCACTTACACGCATATACGATACACATGTAGGTATATATCTATCTACCTGCGTACCCACTGTGTGACAATATCAATTTATATACCTAGTATAAGGCCGTCCACATAATGCGATATTATATATATATATATATATATATATATATATATATATATATTATTTATGTGTGTGTGTGTGTGTGTGTGTGTGTGTGTGTGTGTGTGTGTGTGTGTGTGTGTGT